AAATAAAACAAATATGGCTTTTTTTCTTTTTTTGTTTTTTTTTTTTTTTATCTCCGAATGCTTTTCCAAATTATTACAGCTTTATCACGAGCAAGTCCACAACCGAGATGTTAAAAGCAAAATTCTGGAGGTCTTTGGCATGGAGTCAGTGACATATGGTTTCATTTAGATACTGTTCAGCACCGTCATGACTAGGTATTTCCTTGCAGTACACTAAATTAATTTCCTCCAAAGATGCATATTAGTTTTTACTGTAACAAAGTCAAAGATAACGTTTCAGGTAATCTCTCTGGAAGATCGAATTCTTCTACTGGTTTTAAATCCCACATCCTATAACCTCCTCTTGTTCTGGATTTTACAAGTTTGCTCCATTTTGAATTATGCAAGTAAAAAGCCGACTGCCTATGTTCAGAACGTAGCAGAGGAGAAATATGCCATAAATCTGAAGATTTCCTCGAGTCGTTACAGTAAAAATGGAAGATTCAGGCATTTACTCATCCAGATAGACATGCTGCGATCCTCCTGATTTTCCAACTGCTCATTTTCATTGCTGCATCATTTTATCCCGCAACAGCAAATTCTCAAAGGAGGGACAAAAAAAAAATAAAATGTACATACATGCACTCCGCATGCACAACCCACACATCTGTTTATCTCTTGCCATACAGTACACATAAATAACCACCTAAAAAGCACGTTTTCCTTTATAGAGGTTTTAGCCAAGCAATGCAGCACTGAGAAAAAACACATTTGTAAGCCTGCAGGATTCAAACCCACCTTAATATAACCCCAAGATACAGATAACAAATAGTTTGCTTCAGGCATTTTGAAAAACTCCCCACGCCACCGTCCACAAATCCTCGCGGAGAGCAATCGCTGGTCAGGCAGGAGGGCTCCTCGGACACCCCCTTTACGCCAGTTGATAAAAAAAATCGGCGTTCATCAAATCCAGAGCTCCCCAAAGCCCGGCGGTCGCTAATCCCAGACAAAGCCGAGCTTGGCAGAGCATCTTCGCGGAGGGCTGAGCGTGGGTGTTATTTGCTCGCAGGAGAGAATAATGAAATCGAGGAGGGGGTGGAGGGGTTGCACGAAGAAACGAGAACTGATGCGAGCGCGTTCGGCCGGATGGCTGCCAGCACTTATGAATTATGAATCGTCCTGGTTTGCTCACTCGGCTGAAGGGGGTCCCCGCTCCGCCGCCAGGCTTGCCCACCTGGACCCGGCGGGAAAAAAAACTGCGGAGGGGTTCCAATCCCTAGCCACACAGCCATCTTTTTATAAGGGAGATTAAAATGGAGGAAGCTTGCGCATATTTAAAGAAAAGTAGGCAGTAGTCTCCTCCGTTTCTGCTTTGTTTCAATCCTCTTCATCATGGAGGATGAGGCTTTCCAAAGTCAGAACTCACGTGTGGATTTGTAAAAGCATGATTTTTCACATTTTAATTCTTTCCCCCCCCATATGGTAAAGTCTAGCAACGCAGCAAAATGTGCCTTTACAAGCTGGATATATTTTTCAGATAGCAGGGATAAACCAGCAATAACCTTAAATCTACAATGCCAGCCTGCAACGAGCAAGTTCCTTCTTGCAAGGAGATGTTGCCAACCAAATTTCAAATTGAATCATCGCTTCAGTTTTTATCTTAAACTGGAATGCAAGCACTTCATCGGGGAGCTGAAGCTGCCCTTTTAGCATCAAATCAAAAGCAAAGCACTTTGTGCTGTGTGTGTGAGACAGATCACAGCAAGGAATTGCCACGGATGCGCAGCATTCAGGACGTCCTTGGCCATCGCCGGCTGCAGCACGCTGCACCACAGCAGCCAAGGTTCCTAAATCAGACCCCTAAAATAAAAGTAGGCGCAGCCTTTGGCCTGAAATTATTTCCTTTGAACGCTATCGGCTCGCCTCGGCGTGACATCGCCAGGCTTCCGGGTGACACTGCAGGGCACAGGGGGCAGTCCAGTCCCTGCTGCAAGAGGTGATGGGCGGCGAGATGCCGAGCCCAGCCACGGCTCCCTGCTTGCCCCCGCTGCCGGGCTGGCACTGAGCACCACGGAAACGACGCTTGGCCGGCCAGGCACAGCTCAGCGCCACCCAGACGGGGCTGCCACTCAACCTCTTGGCTGTCGGAACCACTCGGAGGAAATGAAGTTGTGAACTCGGCTCTTTCTCTCCTTAAATTCATGATTATCAGAGGTGGGAAGATGATGCCACCTCCCTTTTACCACGCGGACCGGAGCTGGGGTGCTCCCTGCCGACTCTGCCCTGTCAGCACGGCGAGGACTCGCTTTCTGTTTAAATCCTGTCCCATGGGCAGGAGCGGGATGTGAAGGATGCCCTCTCGTGGGATACGGGCAGGAGCGGGAGGGACGTGCTGAAGCGTGTCCAGAGAAGGGCCACAAGGATGCTCAGAGGGCTGGAGCACCTCTCCTGTGCAGACAGACTGAGAGAGTTGGGGCTGTTCAGTTTGCAGAAAAGAAGGCTCTGAGGAGACCTTATTGTGGCTTCCAGGATCTCAAGGGGGCTACAGGAAAGCTGGGGAGGGGCTTGTTAGGATGTTGGGCAGTGACAGGACTAGAGGGAATGGATTGAAGCTGGAGATGGGTCGGTTCAGGTTGGACACGAGGAAGAAGTTCTTCCCTATGAGGGTGGTGAGACCCTGGCACAGGTTGCCCAGAGAGGGGGTGGCAGCCCCATCCCTGGGAGTTGTTAAGGCCAGGCTGGATGGGGCTCTGGGCAGCCTGATCTAGTGGGGGATGTCCCTGCCCAGGGCAGGGGGGGGGGACCAGATGATCTTTGAGGTCCCTTCCAACATGACAATTCTGTGATTCTATGATCTCACAGCGCTGGGTCACAGCCACAGGCTTGGGCTCACAGGGTCTTCCCGACACTCCGGGCCAACCAAGAGGGACAAAAGCCTCTTTGAAACTCCTCGGAGAAACCCTAGTGATGGGAAACGAGCGACAGCAAGAATGAAAGGCAAGTAAGAGGAAGCCCGTGGGAGGAGAGGAGAGCTCTGACCTCATCGTTCCTCCCAGTGACATATTTTCGCCAGTCACAAGCACCGGCCGCCGACACGTGAGTGCTCCAACATCCTCACAGTCAAGCGTGTGCAGAAACATTTCTCTGCATCGAGGCCTTTATGTTTCCAAGGAAAACACCATGATCAGATGATCGCACAAACAACTTTTAAGCAATACGGGATCAGTCGGGTTCTCTATTCAATCGCCCCTTTCAGCAAAATAATCCCATGTGGCAAACAAACACCCAAAAAAAGAGCTGCCTTTACCTCACAATTGGCTTCACAAAGTACAAAGGGTAGCTGCTGCCTTTTCACAGAGCAATTAAACAGTCTCCACAAGGTCACCCAAGCCATCTGCAGCAGAGATGAGGACAGATCAAAAAGACCTTGGCATCCTCATATCTGATCTTTAACCAGAAATTCATCCCCTTTGCCTCCTCCGACAGCCTTCACCTGGCTCACTTGCCCAGGTTTTTAATGAGTAGCCTTTTGTAAAGGCAGACAGCAGCGTTACAGCGCTGCTAAAAGGACTGTCGGGGCAAAACCCAGCCAAGGGTGCTCTGAGAACACCCACACACTTCGCACAGTTTATTGCCATTTACCCTCCGAGCGATGCTGGCACCTGAGCAGGATTTACTTAACAACACATCGCCCTTTTACAAAACAGCACAGCTCAGCATGGCTACGCTCAGTAACCACGGCGTCTTCGCTTCCTTGCTGCTCGTGGGGCGTGTTTCGGATTTTTTTTCCTGAGCTTCCCTTATGTCAGGACGCTCTCGAGCTTGAGAGTGTCCAGGGCCAGGCTGGATGGAGCACTGAGAAACCCGACCTAGTGGGAGGTGTCCCTGCCATGGCAGGGGGTTGGAACTAGATGCTCTCCGAGGTCCCTTCCAACCCAAATCATTCTACGATTCCTCT